CCGCGCCACAAGTCTGCTTCTACGCCGACGTTCTAAAAAAATCGGCATTCACGCCACAAGTCGGCTTCCACGCCGACGTTCTGAAAAAACACTGGCCTTCACGCCACTAATCGGTTCCGTTAAAATTCTACCTCGGGCATCGCTGCAAATTCTGAAAAATCTCGTCTTCGAGTCCAATTATACGAGGTGAAACTACTTGCAAAAATTTTTTGCTTCTGCGAACCAGCTGTTATGAAAGTTTTTTTTTTTTACTTTGCAAAACAGCTTTTGTAAAAAGTTCTTTATTTCTGCAAAGCAGTCCTTGTAAAAGTTTTTATATTTGTAAAACAATCTTTGTGGAAGTTTTCATTTATGTAAAACAACTTTGATACAAAGGTCCAAACCAAATTTTAACAAATAGGGTCGGCCTAAAGAGTTGACCACTTTTTTGAGACCCCAACTACGAGCTCAAAATACTTGAAGAAATAAAATCTCAAACCATTTACGTAAAACAAACTTTCATTCATCAAAAAGCCCGGAAGAATATCCTTACATACAATGCAACAAAATAGAAACTAAAAGACGTTCCAACTTGATGGTCCACGTCCGAAAACCACAAAACATTAGCAAACAAGCGTGCCAACATGATGGTCGATGCAGAACGAAAAATGAACAAAAGAGCAAAATAACAGAAGGAACAGGCTAAGCTACTCGGCAGTCCCCCCGACGTCATCCCCAGGCTCGGGTGGGGCTCGGATGGTAAACTTACCCAACAAGAAAAGAGGTAAACTTACCCAACAAGAAAAGAGGGAGAGAGATCGGGTGGGGCTCGAGTGCGCGGGTACGGGCGCGGTTTCGGGCTTGGCGCTCGGTTTAATTACTCCAGAAATTGAACTTCGATTCGAGAAAAAATAAAATAATTAACCGGCAACAACATACATACATATATATATATATATTATTCCCTCCAATAGTATATATATAATCACACAATAAATCATGTATATATATCCACATAATAATATTGGGTAAATTGCTCCAAATCCCCCTGTAATATACTAAATCTGTGCGTTATCCCCCTGTAATTTAAAAATTGCGTCAAACCCCCTTGTAATGTACTTTTGCATGCGCGAAGCACCCTAAACCGTCTAAGATGACGGAAGTGGTGTGCACGCGCGTGCTGTGCGATTTTTTCTCCATTTTTTCACCCCAAAGTCACTGAAATTACTGTTTTACCCTTGAATTATGTGCAAAACCTAAATGGTATGAATGTGGGCTACAAGATTCGAACCTTGCTTGAAAAGAAAGGGAATGACCGCTCAACCACTGGGCCATATTGGTGGAAGTGTAATCTATTGAACCAAAATATATACATCATACTGAAATGAATTAAATAGTTAAAAAATAAGTAAATAAATAAAATAAAAGGATAATATGTCAATTTACTAATATAACAATTATTAGTAAATATTATATATTGTATATATAATATTTTATATGTATATTATATATAATATAATATATATAATAT